AGTGTGTGTATATATATATATATATATATATATATATATATATATATATATATATATATGTTCTATCACCTTAATTTACCGACTACATGACAACAAAAAATAAAATAAATAAATAAAAATTCTAAATATGATCTTAAGGCGATCCAATAATCAGAATTTAAGTCGACATTTTAAATGAGTCAAAATAAATATTATGTGACCTTCTACAAAAATAATTACACAGTATGTAACTTAATTAATTACAAGTTAATTACCAGTAACAGTTAATTAAAAATTCAAAAAATCTTTTATATTCCCTACATTAATACGTGTGAAATTTAGGAGGACCCACTTTCAACTAAAGTTGGTGAGGTTTGAATTTGTGGTGCCATTTTAATGAATAATGCTAGTGGTACACCATGATATTCAATATGGTGTACAAAATGGACACACGGTACTTCGGTATTGGCCGAGGTACCGATGGACCCTGACGTGGCAGGCACCTCGGCCAATGTCGAGGTGCCGTGTGTCCATTTTGGACACTATGTTGGATACCATGGTGTACCACAAGCATAACCCCATTTTAATACCTAAGTCATTTGACACCCATTATTTGAATTTATAATGGGAGAATAGTGTTTTTTTTTTTGAAAAATGGATAGTTGTAAAAGAATGAAAAGTTTTCGATTTATGTGTAATATTATTTTATTGAAAATTATGTGATTAGAAATAGAAAAGAGAAAAAATTAAATTAAAGAGTTTTAATGGGAGTCAAACAAGGGCTGAATATGTACACGTCTGAGGTAAGCCGTGTGCAATTGAATTATATTCTCGTTTGGCATGATTTTTAAAAAATCAAAATGAACTTTTGAAATTCAAAAATTACATTTGAATCGACTTGACTAATTTTATAAAAGTGTTTCTAATAGTTAGAAGAATTCTTAGGGAAAGTTAATTTATTGTAATTTCCTTTAAAAATGCTTTTGGAATAGGAAGTACCTTTTAAAATTAATTTCCAAATAAAAATTGAAGCAACGTCCTCTAAAACCTCTTTTACAAGAAGTAAAAGTAAAAGTAAAAGTAAAAGTCATGACAAATGGGATCTATAAGTGGGCCAAATGCTATAGTATTTAATTTTTATATTGAATTTACTTTTTACCTTATTTTTCTCCAGTCGTGCTATGTGTACAATCCGGATTGATAATCTTGATTGACAATTAGACATATAAAATGGGGTTCACGCTGAATAAAAAAATTGTTAATCTCCTCTCTTGTGAGTGCATTATCAACCAAGGTGGTGGTATAAAAAGAATAATTCAATTTTCTAAATGCATATGAGTTTAGGGGCATTTGTCGAAGGACTATTCTAGGTCACAGGGGCTTCAGCCTTTGTCTAATCAGCCCTGCTAGAAATCCAGGGCCCACACATGGGCCCTGGATGGATGTGGAGATTAATCCTTGTCTGTGTGGGCCCTGGATGGATGTGGAGATTAATCCTTGTCTAATTATTCGAAATGGCGTGTACCTTATTATTGTGGTGACACCTGGAAAAATACCTATTGTTTAAAATATTTGAAATAATCAGGTATTTTATGTGAAAATGTAGTATTTTTGAAATAAGTTTGACTAATCGATAGTCGATAAACATTAATTAAATGCAACAAACAAAAGTACTCTTGAGTTGGATATAAAATTTCTCTCCAAAATCAATTCACTTAAATTTCACATTCATTAACTTTTTCCTTTGTGCTGGATAGGTATCAATTTCTTATTACCCCGACGATTTCATCGAAGATAACTTCTTCATTTCTCATCGACAGTCGAAGCACCTTCGGATCAAAAAGATTGTTTTTGCAGGTAATTAATTCGAATCATAGCCATTACATATTGAATTTTCGTTACTTTCATAAAAACTTCGATTCGAGCCAAAATTGGCAAAAATCTGATTTTATTTTTGGACCAATTACCATATCAATCAATCAAGCTTTAATGTTTTATTAAATTATAATTTCAAAAAGTTCGTCTGAGTGCAAAAATTTACAAATGTGTCTTGCTAACATATCCTTTTTGCCTGTGAATGCTATGGTTGAACAAGGCTCGAATTTTGGCACATGAGCCATAGAGCCTACAAGCCCTTGTGATAGGCTGCAAAATTGCATCTGGTTGACAACTCGAGTTAAAATTCAATTCTTTTAAAATTATTTTAAAGAGAACTAAATTAAAAAAAAAAAAAAATTATTGTACAACTTGTTGGTTGCTTAGGCTTGATTTGCCTCGATCCATTCGGCCCTTGAGCTTAACAAGCGAGATGAGTCCATTTTTTCTTCATTTGCCATGCCAGGCTTATGTCACGGTCTAAGTCGAGTTGACTTGTTCAATTGCTGCCCTTAGGAGCCATTGGGAATTTGATCTGATCAAGGGGTGATAAAAGGGTCGAGCAACTTGTTGGCTTGACTCATCTAGACTTGAACTGGGGGGAGGGGGTTTGGGCTCATTTTGAGATGAATCATGGGTTGAACCAAGTTCACTTTTTTCTCACAAGTCGACTCATTTAGGCTTGTGGATGGACATGTTTTTTATTTCATATATTTTTGACTTTTTTTTTATCAATTTCTTAAAAAACTGCTTTTTTTTTTTTTAAATCTTATTTGGTTAATTTATTTAGAAAAAAAAGAGTCGGTGCGTGGATGACTCGACTCATTTGGGCTTGTAGATTGCTCGACTCAATCAGAATGTCTAAGAGTCTAACCAACTCGATCCATTACCACCATAACCCTATCTATTACCACCCATATGCAGAACCAAAAATAATTGGATTCAATTCCAAATTACAAGGTCCATTTTTATATTCTTATCCAATTATATCCACGTTTAACAAGGACGACAACTGGACTTGGTGTGATTAAAAATTTTCATTTTTTATTCCCTTTAAATATTTTATTTATTTTATATATTTTTACATTTTTCAAAATAAAATAAAGTCAAATATAAAATTATAAAAAATAAAAAATCCAGGATGTGTTTAGAAATTAATGGACGGAATCATATCCCTCGTCCGGTCCCGTTTACTATTCAAAGGCGGGGAATCCCAACCAATTCGGAATAGGACAATATGGGGCGGTTTTTTTTGAGACGGAAATTTTTTCCATCCTATGTTTATGTCCATTTTTTACCGATGTCTTGTTCAGTAGTGATTATAAGAATTGATTTTTTGATCGTTAGAGAGAGAAGAAGATTTCATCTGTGAGAAAAGAAGTAAAAAATGACGATTAACTTAAGAAAATAACGATCAAAATATTGATGTTTTTGGAGTGAAAAATTAGAATCAAACATGCGCCAAATGTACAAGGGGCATAGAAGTCATACAAAATTGGTAAATTATTTTCTTTGAGGTTAGGCAAAAATGAAGAAAAAATGAGAAAAATTTATGTATCCTTCTTTGTTAGTATGTATTTTCTATTATGACCATTGAGCGGTTTGAGTGAGTAAGGAATTCTTGCTATAAAAATTAGAAAATAATTGTGAGAAAATTCGAGAAGAAAGTAAAATCATTTTTTTCTTTCTTGGGTTATTAAATTTTTTGAGATTATAAGTTGTTTTTAATTTTATTAGTTTTTTAAAATCAAAGATTGAGTTTTTTATTATATTTAAAGCCCTTAAATCAATTAATTTCTAATACATCATTAACAGTAATTTTCTTGGATTTTTAGACTTTGAACTCTCTCTGTGTATCATATAAATATTATTTGTGGTATAATTAATAATGAAAGATATATAAATAATATCTAAGTGGATAATGAAGTGATTATTTAAGCTAATTTATTTATTACTGTTTTATAAATAAAAAAATTGAGAATATGGCGTAACAAATAAAAATAATCCATTCAAATTCCTTCATTATCATCCTATCATTTAAATTTCTCAAACTAATAAATATAGTAAAATGAACGGTTATTCAATATTTTTTAAGGTTATCTGCACATGCAAACTCTCTTTCTCACACTTGCTATATCTGTCTATTTACATTTCTTTGATCTGGGGTCATATAATTTTGCCATTTTACTGTCATTATTCGGTAAGATCTTCGAGTGTTATTTTCGTTATAGTGAATAAGGACTGTTATTTTCATTATAATATGTCATTTCCATTTTCCATCTACGTAATTTAATATTCTTTCCTACTTTTATATTAATAATAATAAATATAGAGAGAAGGGTAGAGGGAGCAGAAAGATTGAATTTTTCTTGTTTCGTGGGTTCCCATGAAATGTAGGACAATGCCGATGTTGAAATTTCAAGAAGGGTTATGTACCAAAAAACGATAAAAATGGAAATCCCAATATGGGTTTTGGTGTAGGGTTAGTTTGGGTCATTTTCCATTCTTTTTGGTATGCCCATTTTGGGTTTCTTGAAGAACTGCCCCCACAGATCGTACTGGGTCAGAGAAAGAGGCAGAGTATAAGTGAATAAACCTCTGGATCTTGTCAATGCATGCAATATTTTATTGGGAGTCTTCGTATCATTACTACTGTTTACGTGTTATATCTTCCCAATGTCAGCCAAAGATTACAAAGACCTGCAGGATATCCTGTTCATTCATACGCAAGCCATAGTAATATTTAGGCGACATTTATCGAATTAAAATTTTAGTTTTCAACTACCCTTTTTAACACAACCTTTGTATGTACAGGTTAGTCGTTAATATGCTAAATGACCTTGTTTGAAGATTTGAATTGTCAAAAAGAGAACAAGTCAGCATATGAGCAAAGGCTTAATAAGGCCTTGTTTGAAGATTTGAATTGTCAAAAAGAGAACAAGTCAGCATATGAGCAAAGGCTTAATAAGGGTTTTTAGTGCCAATCATACTAATTGTAAGATAAATTTGACAACAAATTTGATTTGAAAAACTATTTTTGAATTCCATAACTAGGCTTTTTACAATTTACACATTATCAACATTTTACACATTGTTAAACTTACTGTACAAACAAATATTCTTCTAGTGCATACAGCAGTGTGATGAGTGTCTTTTCTGTTGCATCTTTTGGTACTCTGAAGGAATTCATGGCTATGACAGTCTATGTTGTACTATGTGCTTTTCTTGGGCTTTGGGGATTTGCTTACCGGTTGTTATTTCATAATTCAAATGGGGTGGTTGCTCTGTTTTGCATTCATAATTTCACAACAAAGAAGTGCTCTGCTCCATTGTCCTTTCAGGGCCTATGACTGGTGATTATCTTTCTCTGTTCATACCGGGTGTTTTGTGCTTTTATCCCTTCAATTTCTGTTTTTTCCCGTCTTTATGTCTCTCTGTGTTCAAAGTTTGAATACCACAGCCACATGTAGCATGATTGTCAAAGTTTTGGCTTTTCTACTTTATTTTGCTTCCAAGGTTTCTGGATTCTATACTTTTTGGCATGTGTGTTTGATGGGATTTTGTCTCTTTTCTTTCCCTTTTGCATGCTCTCACTTTTTACTCCCAAGAATGTGAGTTCCTACTTGTGCCGACTGTTTTTGAATCACTCCTCTTTGTACTTTGTTATCCTTGATGATTTTATAATCACACATTCCTATAATGTCCATCTTTTGGTTTATAAGTTCTACAACTCCCAATCTGAGAACTGGCAAGTATGGCTAATGTTTCCTTTTGCTTGTTTAGCAGTATGTACAATCCAGTACTTCTCAATATTAAAAAAGAAATTGAAATCTTGTCGATTGTACCATCGAATATTACGCACTAGCAACAAATTTTATTTACTCTGGTGTTTTTTGATGATTATATGGAACAATGTATGAATTCTGTGCACTTCTTTTCTTGACCTGCAGTGTAGGCAGAAAAGCAAGTGCTAGTAGTGGATGATGATGATGGAGAAGGGAACGATAGCGGAGAGTCCAAATTCATATCCACCTCCTCTAGCAGCATATCAAGAGGTTGCCAGCTCCCGTGAACTGTTCTTGGATACTTTGAAGAAACTTCATGTTGCCATGGGAACCAAATTCATGTAAGCTTACTTTATCTAGCAATTTATTTTTCACACAGTATAAAGTGGTTGTGCTTTTTATGCTCTGTAAATGTTGTATTGTCTTCATGTCTAATATGATGTACAGCAGTTCAAAAACTTTCATGGGTAGATGCTACGAAATTGGGAGAACTTGAACCAAGATATCACTGTGTAAATGTAGTAATGTACTTCTATGAAGGGACCGGTTAACCATTTTATGAAAGTTTAAGATAAATTCTAAGTCGATGCTTGTAGAACTTGTTACACAAGGAATATTGAAACAATCACATGACAAATTAAGGGTTCCCCAGAAGCTGACATGGCTTAGAGGAAAGGCAATCGGAAGCTGTCCAGAGGAATCCATTGGCAGAGGGGTCCAGTGGGGTGCCCCTCACCCGATTGTCTATTTTTCTTGGCAGCATGATTGAACCCAGAAATGGATCAGCCTATAGCCATAGACATAAAAGGGTAGAGAGGAAACCTATACGTATAGTTGAACTCACCAAAAAACCGATTTACAAGGAGAGAGTATTACAGTAGTTATAACTTAAGTCTTAACTTAGCGATCTTGGATGTGATAGAATCATTATAATGATTCTCCATTCGTCAAATCAATGATAGTGATTCCATTTTAATTATAATCTTCATGACCATTAGAATGTTAAATATATATAGTGATACTTTTCTGATGAGGCTTATTAGCATTAGTCCATCTTATCTGTATTATTTTATATATTAAATGGGACTTTATTGTGCAACAATGGTGTTTACTTTGTTTTCCGAGCTAAGTGTTTGTAAAAAACCAAAAAAAGCGAAGCCCACCCTATTTTAATATTTGTTTTCTTATTTCTTGGTTTAAATCTCATCACTTGAAATTTCATCAGCCAAATATCTAAAGCATAATATGTATGCCTAATATTTAATTAGCTTCCTCAATTCTCGATCTTGTATCTCTTTATCTGAGCACTGAATTAATGATAGTTTAGTTGTATTCATTAGAAAAATAAATTTAAATTGAAAAGACAGAAGATTATTGTGTTTCGACATTCGTGCTTATGTCCACAGACCCACACCAATTGCTTTACTATAGCTATGAAAGAAAGAGGAATACAAATGAAACTCATTCTGTGACTCTTGTGCCTATGCAGAGGCTTCAAACTATTTTATCTCGTTTAAAGTTTTCTGAAGTCTTCAGTCTCCCTAAAGTTTTCTAACTCTGTGCACTTCACACTTGATTTCCTTTGAATTCTCTTTATAAAGAATGCTAATGGGGTCCATAAATCAACCAAATCAGTTATATGAAATCTGCTCTATTGACAATGACAATCATGCACAAATACATGTACACATACTATTTACATTTAATGTCTTGAGAGACTTGCACATAATGATGCATTTCACCAATCTTGCAAGAAACCATGCACAGCTTCTTCAAATGTGAAGCCATAATCAGTCTCCACTATTCAACACACCTATTATATATGAATATTTCAAAATTTCAGCAGTCTTTTAATTAACTCTCTTCAGATATTTTTGCCAATCCTTGAAGGGATTTTCTCGATTTTTTTGACTCGCATACCATTGGCAAATAAAGTATATTGATGGTTGGTATTAACTTCTCAATTATTATTTTTTATTTCAGCACTTCAATGGTGTATAGGACACGCCAATTTTCAATCACAAAATACACAATATTTTTAAATGTTTTATCTTCTAGAAAATCACATTTTATTGAGGAGATGGCATGATGTAGAAGTAGAAGATAAAGGTTTTTCTTCTTCTTTTTGGCATGGTTGCTTTTGAAGTTTCTGTTTTGTTACTAGGATCATGCAATTCATTGCTGCATTTCTTCTTATTCTTATTTTCTTGGGAAGCCCTTATTCATCTATCTAAATTTGTTTGTTAATGCTTCAGGATCCCCATTGTGGGGGGCAAGGACTTAGATTTGCATCGCCTCTTTGTGGAAGTTACTTCTCGTGGTGGTATTACAAAGGTTAGAATGATTTCAATTTTATTTCACTTTGACTCATCGGTCGATGTTTATGAACTCCCTCTACAATTTCCATAACATGTCATAAAAGTACATCTAAAAGGCTTTGTGGCTTAGACATATAATGCTTATCCAGCTAGCGCAAGAATTGCAACAGTAACTTTGTTTACTTTTGTAAAGCATTGCCGGTTATTAAATTGAATATTTCAATTTGAATCCTTAATTATGTCAATTACATAAATATATCATAACATATTAGCCAAACGTTGTTCGCATATGTTCCTTAACTAGAAGCACCAAACAAATTTGAATTGTAAGAGAAAATAATTTTCATTGGCTCCATGCCTCTGATGGCTTTCAATATTCTTTTCCATGAACAATATGCATTATGAACCTCAAGTGCAACATTGTTACGGTTGGTGTCGTATCAGCAAGGCAGCACATGATACAATCACGAGTTACTGTAAAGTGAGTCACTTGCTAAGGGATTTGAGTTTTCATAATATATTTGTATATAGCCAATTCTAGTTCTGAGAACCCACTGAAACAAAAAGAAAAGAAACGGAAGAAGTCAATCCAGGCAAAGTTTTTTATCATTATTTTTGTGGGCTAAGGATCAAGTTAAACTTGGTGTTGTGTTTCAATTCTTAACTTTTAAAGTTATTGCATTCAAATTTCTTGTTTCAATTCTTAACTTTTAAAGTTATTGCATTCAAATTTCTTCTTTCTGGCTAAATATGGTGTTTCGTGCCCCTGTGCTTAACGAGGATTACATGCAAAATCTTTACAGTCCTTGCTACATATTTGTTTTTGTTTACTAGAAGTGAAGTTTCTCATAACCTATTTTTTGTTTGGAAAAACACATCTAGAATCTTCTATGCAAACTCATAGTTAAAACGTCTGTCCATCAGTGAAATAACCTTTTGTGTATGGATTTGGTAGTTCAACTGAGAGGTGACTCTATACTATGTTGTTGAAAAAGTTGGGGGGAGGGACGGGGAGGCTCTATGTAAAACACAATGGTAAGTTTGTAAAGGTACGAAGGTTTTGCAAAGAGCTTTATTTGATTACAACTAGATTGTAATTACCATACTTTATCTAAGACAACTCATCTAAAACTTTGCTTGTATTGAAGTATAAAAAAAAAAAAAAAAGAGAGAAAAACAAAGAAAATGCTTCCGCTATTTCTATCCTACAGTGAAGTTTGAAGCTCATGATAAAGCTGGTACAAGTGAATTCTAAAACATACTTGATGATGGGTGAAATAGGACAGGAACTAGAATTGTAGGAGAAGAAAGGATACGAGAGGGGGGCGGGGGATGGAAGGAAGGGGTGAAGAATCAGGAAGAAGTGGGGGAGAGACAGAAAGAAAGGGAAGATGCCGAGAGAAAAAGATTGTAGAGAGGAATTTTATTTATTTTTATTTATTTATTTATTATTATTATTATTTTTTAAATTATAATTAATTTTTTCCAATACAATGGAAAAAAATTCATACCCAAAATATTAGATACTCTTTTAATAATATCCCAAGGATATCCATCAATACATTACAACAGATTTCACTTGACTTCCAGTGGATTTTGAAGTACTTTATCTAATGGCTAATTCTGTTCTGTTTCATTGCCTACTGGACTTTAGCAATATCTGTTTTCTTGTTTTCTAAAGCACATTTTTTTTTATTCTCTTCTATTGTTAAATTTTTTCTTATTGAAGCATGAATCCAATCTGTTGTATATTGAGTGCATGTTTAGTTTGCAATATTTAACAAGTTTGGGCAATATAATGAGCAAGAACTTCTTTTTCTTCTTAATACTGTCTATTGCCATTGAATCCTCCCTACTAAACATGCATAAATATCTAAAGTGTATGGCACATTGCTGCAATGGTTACTTTGTCTGGTTTAACGAACTTGATTTTTTTTCCACTGAAGTTGATGTTTGATATGAATTACAGGTTGTCAGGGAGAGAAAATGGAAAGATGTTACTGCTGTTTTCAGCTTTCCTTCTTCGGCAACAAATGCTTCTTTTATACTTCGCAAATACTATAGTTCATTGCTTTACCACTACGAACAAATTTATTTATTTAAAGCCAAGTGTTGGACTCCTTGGACTCCTTTGTCTACTGGTGAGTTTAAATGCTTTAAAATCTTCACTTTCACTTTTTATGCTTTTTTTAATTGTGGAGCAAAATCTCTGCAGATGCTTTGCAAAATGTGTCTAAAAGTACTGCTCCGCCTCGTGGATTGGCTGAAGGCGTCCTACAACCACAAAACAAACAAGCTTCACCTCTACAGATTATAAACACTGAGACGTCTTTCTCTACTGGTGAGTTTAAATGCTTTAAAATCTTCACTTTCTTTTTAGAGATTCTTTTTATGGAACAAAATCCTCTGCAGATGCTTTGCCAATTACTGCTACACCTCATGGATTGGCTGAGCGCATCGTCCCTCCACAAAAACAAGAAGCTTCACCTCAACAGATTATAAATTCTTCGACGTCTTTGCCTGAAGGTAGTCTTCTTCTTCTCCTCCTCTTCATTTCTTATCTTTTTCGAATTTTGCTTATGTTGTTGAATTTGAGATTTTTCTTCACACATAGTATTCCATAGACAATTATGTGTAAGACTCTCTCGTGGGTGAATAAAGTGTCCCCTTTATTTTAAAAATAATTATTTATTTTAATCACTATTTTTTTATCTACATCCTGTATGGTGACCTTTATGAAAAACTATGTTTTGAATAGTAATTTTTTTTGGAGAATATGTGGTTAAAAAGTAGTGAAAAGTTTTGGGTTTATGTGTATAATTTTTTATTATGTGAATGTGTGGTTGAAAATGAGCATGAGAAATAAATTAAAGTAAATTAGGGGTCTAAATAAGAGGTGGTTCAAATCAAACAAATTACTTGAAAAACAATTAACAAGTACAAAGTAGTTTTCTTGATAGAAGAAACTGAAACAAACTCTGTTTATTTATGAGAATCCCTAGCCTAGCCCAGTAAGCTTGTGCTTTTCTCTGACCGCTATAAGTCTCATAGTTTTGACTCGATATGCTTGAAGACTTCAACTAATATTTATTTCTTGCTTGCTTGCTTAAAAAGGTTAAAGTTACCTAATTATTTAGAAACTCGATCATTTATTGTCCAATATGGCAAATCAATTTATTTGATGTGGACATTATCATTTCCCCTTTACCTACCATATGTGTTGAGGGGCGGGAGGTGGTAACACAATTCTTAACTGCACTGCACAACAGGTGTTGCTGTATTAGAACAACTTTTATCTTAGATTTGTCAATTGATTGTTTTCCTGAAAAATGATTTGATTTGTGATAATTGAATTTGACATATGAAGTAGAGCAAATTCATAAGAAATTTTAAAAATAGTTTCTAACTTTGTTTGGTTGTTGAGTCTAGATACATCAGTTCACTTAGCTCTTAATGGTGTGGTCTCTTGAAAAGGTTCTGCCTAGGTGCGTTTCCAAAACACCCTGCATATGCATAAGATGTGGAAAAATGAGGTCAACTCCTCTTTTGACCACCTAATGCAAGCATAGGCGCCAAAAGGCGTGCCCCTTTCTTTTTGAAAAAAAAAAAATTCTAATTTTTTGGAGCCATTTCTTGGACCTAATGGCTAATATAGGCCTACGGACCAAATTAGTGTGGGCGATTTCTTAGACCCATTTGCCTCAAAAGGTCTTGTGCTTTTAATTTTCAATTGTCTAGTTTTGGGAAACTTGGAAGTAGTCTACACTACTTCTTGCAGCAATAATTAAGTAATTCTAGATTTTATGATTTAATTTTCTAGCATGCATTATCTTTTTTTAATGGTCTTAAAATAATTAAAATACTATGGAAAATAAGAAAAATACCTTTTTTTTCTAGACATGCCTACGTTAGTAAGGCTTGAAGTTTGACCTTGTTGAGTTGTTATGAGATCTTTTAATAATCTAATTTGCCACTAGAGCTGTTCACATAAAAGATCACTCATTAACTACTGGGACCGGAAGTCCTAAATAATTGAGTGTTTGTTTGTGAGAGTTAAGTTAATCATTTTTTTGGAGAACGAGTGTTTCACGATCGACCTTATTGACCATTCTTATGAGAATCTGGACCTATTAAAGGGTTATGAGAAAGATGAGGTTGTCGTCTCTGTTATGAGATGCACTCTCTCCACCCCTGTTGACTTTGATTCACCATGGAAATCTATAGTATACTAACTTTAGAGTGAACATAAAATCTAAAATCCCTAATAAACAAAAATAATAAGAATACTAGTCCAATAGCACTGACATGCTTTGCTCCTTAGTCAATAACACAGAGTACTAAATTATCTCATGATTCAACTGAATAGGATGAATTTTTGTTGGCATCATAACGAGTATTTCATTAGAAGTAATGTCTGATAATTTGAAATTATGTTTAGCAAAAAGAGGAGCTTAATAGTAACTTTTACTTCTTTTTAAAAGCTTGTTAGCCAAACAAGCTATGAAACTTTCCTAGTTAGAATAGGCACCTATAATTTATGCATGATTGTTCCTACAAAAATAACAATTACAAGAACTTAACTTTTCAGTCTAGAAACTCTGCTGAGGGTTAAAGCTGGATCACTAATTCTTAGTGTTTACTTCAAACTCCTCTAATGTTCCTTTTGCTCTTTAAATATCCTTTATTCTCTTGTTGATTAAAAATTGATCTCTTATTGCTTGCACAAAGAGAAATGCTGAGAAAGGCATCGATTACTATGAGACTTCTGCTCCAGTTTCTAAGTATTCATTTAGATTTATTGTAGCATCTAGTAGCTTATTTTGACTAAGAGTTACGTCAAGCTGACTTGAAAAATGACACTTCTTAATGGAGATCTTGAAGAAGGGGTATCCATGGGTCAGTTAAAGGTTTCTCAGTGAAAGGATTGTCATTTATTTTGTAAGCTAAGAAATATATATAAGGGCCAAAATTGACATCTTACCAATGGTATATTGAGTTTGACCTCGTTTTTTGGAAATATCGTTGAGAAGTGTATGCGCCTCAAGATTAGTTGGAGTAAATAACCTTTTTAGTACCATATGCAAACTATAGCTTAAATAAAAGAAGAGACTTCGGGCTATTACACAGGACGAGTAATTTCTATTTAGAAGTTTGAGATGAAATAAATGGGTAGAAAGTCCTCTGTGTTGTTTGCACAGAGGTTCGCCAAGATACTGCCTGAACCGTGTTCTATAGTTTCAACAAGGGGCAATTTTAGTTTGAATTGATATCCTGGCAATGGATTGTTACAAGATCAAATTAAACTGTAGAGGAAAAATAAATTTAGCAGCCATAAGAAAATGAGATTTTTCCTTTGTTTTCTATTTTTAATTCTGGAATTGTGATATAATGGTAGGAAAATATAAACTTGTATATTATTTTATTTTCGTTTTGATTCTTTCAGCAACTTTAGCACCATCGCCATTTATCCCAGTGTCTGGAGTGATTGATGGAAAGTTTGAAGGTGGATATCTCGTGACTGTCAAAATCGGCGCAGAGAACTTGAAAGGCGTTCTTTATCAGGTTCCACAATCTGAAGCACAAGGAGTATCTCAACATCATAATGTGCCCACCAATTATATGGAAAGTTCGTCGTCACAACCAGTGGTGCGGCGTCGCAACAGGAGGAAGAAAGCTGAAATTAGAAGACGGGATCCTGAACATCCAAAGCCAAATATAAGTGGGTACAACTTTTTCTTTGCCGAACAGCAACCCAGGCTGAAACCTCTTTATTCAGGAAGGGAAAAAGAAATCAGTAAGGTGATTGGTGAACTCTGGAACAATCTACAAGAACCTGAAAAATCTGTAAGCTCCAACTTGTGCACAAAATGAGACTCAAGACTGTTTTTTCCTACATTTTTTTTTTAAATTTTAATTTTTACATTTACATCGAAGTTCCATAAATATTTTGGCATGCAACAAATTGTGGTGTATTCAGGTTTATCAGGAGAAAGCACTCAGGGATAAAGAAAGATACAGACAAGAATTGGAGAACTACAATAAAAGAAAGAGGACTGGAAAATCCATCAACAATACGGCGCCAATACAGGAGTTTCCTCCAATGCCGGATGCTTGCTTGATAGGTCTTGACAAGAATATTCAAATTGAAGGTGAATACTCTGCTCAAATGGCAGAGAATGAAACAAGTTTCGATAAAAGCAATTTGGGGGCATCTCAAGAGGTGAACGAGGGCTTGGAAATGGCGGCACCTCTCCGAGCTGAAGTGGAGAATAGAAATGTGAACTTGGAGATTTCAAAGAATGAAGACGCATCTGGGCTGCAGACGGGACAAGAGGCGGTTGGATGCGAGGACAACAGTCCAGGACATGGACAAATCATCAGCAATGCAGTTCCAATACAGCAGTTTCTTCCAATAGCAGATGCCGGCTTGATAGATCTCGACATGACTGTTCAAACTGAAGGTAATACCTCTGCTTATGAAAAGAGTTCCACCAATAGCAATTTGGAAGGGTATGAAAAGACAGATGAGGCCTCGGCAATGGGGGCATCGTTCCAAGCCGAGTTGGAGCTGGAAAATGAAAATGTTGAAATTTCACAGAATGGAGAAACAACTGCGGTGCAAGTGGGACCAGGCACAGTTGGATGTGAGGCCAACAATCCAGGACTTGGAAGAATGGAGGAAAAAGATGATGTGTCAATCCCCGCGGAAGTGGGAGAAATTGACCCCATTAACACCAGTGAATCTGTTGCCATCAGCAAGGGCCATAAAAGCCCTTGATGGCGTGTTTAGCAAGATAGATTGGATGGAAGGAACACAGGTAAAATTTTGACAAATATATTATAGTCACATTTTAGTACTGAATAGCAAACATTCCCTAATAGGAACTTGCTTTTAGCGTATTTGTATTTTGTGTTTCGACATTGTTCGTAGACTTTGTCTTTGTTTATCTTTACTTTCTTAATAGAACTATGTATCGTATTGAAATGTGATGAATTTATTCTGCCCTCGTTGCTTTGGCACATATGTGCTGTTACAAGAAATGTTTACAAAATCATAATTAGGGTAAATAAACAAAATATAGCCTAAAGGTACATCGTACACACGAGGTACAATGTCTTCATATCATGCTCAAGCAAGCAAAAGTCTTTTGAAACCAAGATCGATTTGTGTTTGATGAACATATGCCTTCTAAATTAACATTAGACCTTCTTGTGATAGAAGTGCAAACAATGACAAATATGAGACTATAAAAGGAGATTTGCACACGAATTAACCATTTGGGTGGATAATCAAAGAACAATCTCAATTATTTATTTATTTTTAAAATTTTTTTTTTTTCAATATTCAAAATCAACCATTTTACAATAAAAGTCTCAACTCCTTGTTTAAACAAAAATTCTAACTAAACTTCTAAACTAAAACAAACTCTATCTATTTTAATAAAACTCGTAACTAAAATGAAACTACATCAAATAATAAAGACTAATTAGTTAGCAATGAAACATTAATTTCAATATGACCTCCTTTATCATTCTCCTCTAGTTAAAAAAGATATGTCCTCGAATCTTGCGAAATGTCTTCATCTGATGCCATACAAAGGCAGTAATTCTTTTGATGACTTAACATCCACGGTACTATTCCAAGATTGAATAGCACTTGTTTGCCAAGATTCTTCATTAACGATTTCAGGTCACAACTGCCTTTCAATAACACCGCCAAAATTGCCTCAATTTGTTCATTTACCCACTTTATTGGTTCCCCTTCATCAATCTCTTGGTAAAAAATCGACGGGCCATCATAATCCTCGCCTAAATCAACAGCCCATATATTGGGACTAAAGGGAGCAAAAAGATTTGTGTCGGAGTCAAGACTCCTCAATATCCACATAACAAACTAAATCATCGTCCTGGCGGCGCTTGCTCACCAATCCCATAAATAATGCCTTCCTCGCCTGCTCGATCACCCTCCACCCTTGAGTTCTTACTTTGCAACCCTGTCATAGGTCAAGATCGCGATTAACCCCATTATCCCGCCAGCCTTGGTTAGCCACAACACGCAAGTCATGGCTACCAACTCGTGCCTCTTGCCTATTACCATAAAGTTCACCTACAATCTGTCTATTGTTTCTAGAGTTTGAAATTACTCATTCGAAAATAATTCGACAGAATCACCTGAATGTAAGAAATGATCAACAGGATCTAAAATGTAATTCGAGCCCACCAACTTCTCAATATTTTCTTAAAAAGAATTTGCTGCCTTCAATGGTGCTAAAGACCTCTAGCAATCGTTTCCTAGGGTAGAACGAATTTTCATTTCCTATGAAAGCAGCACAACAATCTGTAGGAGTTCCAACGAACTCAATGAAGTGTATTTGACTTCGAAACAATATCAGAACGAGAGAGAGGAGAATAAGATTCAAAGCACAGAAAGTTTGCAATGAAAATGGTGTAAATTTTCTGGCAGAGAGGCAGACTATTTATAGACTTGTTCGTGGCCATTCGAACAGTCGTCACCTTTTAGATAAACCTCAAAAATCCGGAACAGACATGTTGTTCTAAAGTCGCGTCTGTTTAGTCGGTTAATAGTCGATTGTTTGGTCGGTTAACAGACGACTGTTAAACAGTTCATCCAGACCAAAAAATCACCCGGAATAAGTCAAAAATTTTAAATTTCATAATGTACCCAATAATTTGATTATTTACAATTTGGCCCAAAAATTTAAATAAATTTTCTCCAAAAAGTTAATATAGTGCAAAGATCCACCCGCACCCGGACACGAATCAGACCGGAATCGGACACGGGTATGTGCTCGGGTCGTGCGGGTGGGTTACTTTAAGACTTAATATTTCATTCAATTTTAAATGGTTTTCGACAAATATATATATCACATGGAATATTAAGTCTTAAAGTATAGCTAGACAACATGGAATATCTTCTAGAAAGTTTCGTAGCCATTCGGCTTCTTATTCGACTTTGTCTAATGCAATGAATTCATATTCCATTGTTGATCTAGCTATACATGTCTGTTTTGAAGATTTCCATGATACTGCAGCACCTCCAAGTGTAAAGATATATCCACTTCTTGATTTGGAGTCCTTAGTATCTGATATCAATTTGCATCACAGTATCGTTCAAGTACTGCTGGATATCTTGAATAGTGCAATCCAAAATTTTGGGTATGTTTTAAATACCCTAAAACTCTAACAATAGCCTTCCAATGATTAGTGCTTGGATTACTTGTATATCGACTTAGCCTACTAATTGAATAGGCAATATCAGGTCGAGTGCAATTCATGACATACATTAAACTGCCAATAATACGAGAATATTCCAATTGAAACTTACTATCACCAGTATTGGAAACAAGATACATACTAACATCCATAAGTGTTTTCATAGGAATAATATCATATTTCTTGAATTTATCAAGAATGTTCTCAATGTAGTGTGATTGAGACAATATGAGACCATCAGATGTTCTAGAAATTTTAATTCCTAATATAATATCGGCCACACCTAAATCCTTCATTTCAAATTTACTTGTTAGCATCCTTTTTGTAGTTTGAATTATGATATCATTGTTACCCATAATCAACATGTCATCTACATATAAACATACCATGACATATCTATTTGGAGTGTTCTTGACATAAACACATTTGTCACACTCGTTAATTTTGAAACCATTTGACATCATAACCGTGTCAAATTTTTCATGCCATTTCTTAGGAGCCTGCTTTAATCCATATAGTGATTTAACAAGTCGACACACTTTCTTTTCTTGTCCTAAGACCACAAATCCTTCAGGTTGCCCCATATAAATTTCTTCATCTAATTTTCCATTCACAAAAGCCGTTTTAACATCCATTTGATGTATATCCAAATCATTCAATGCTGCTATTGCAATAAGCATACGTATGGAAGTGATTCTTGTCACAGGAGAATAGGTATCGAAACAATCAAGATCTTCTTTTTGCTTGTAGCCTTTAGCGACAAGTCTTGCTTTATATTTGTCAATTGATCCATCTGCTTTCATTTTCCTTTTGAAAATCCATTTATATCCCAAAGGCTTATTACCGGGAGGGAGGTCTACTAATTCTAAAGTATGATTTTGTAGTATGGATTCAATTTCACTATGAACAACTTCTTTCTAATATGAAGTTTCGGTTGATGACATAGCCTCTTTAAAATTTTGAGTTTCATTTTCTAAAAAGTATGTTAGAAAGTCAGGCCTAAAAGAGGTTGACGTCCTAACCCTTTTACTTCGTCTAGGTTGTTCATTTATAAATTCTTGATCTGTAGTCTTTTCATGTTCACGAGATATCTTTTGTGAATTTGATTCACCTTGCATGTTATAAGGAAAAGTATTTTTGAAAAATGTAGCATCCCTTGATTCAATAATCGTATTAACATGCATATCGAGTATTTCAGACTTATATACCATAAATCTGTATGCATTACTATGGTAGGCATAATCAATGAATACACAGTCAATGGTTTTAGGTCCTATCTTAACCCTTTTAGATTTAGGAACTACTACCTTAGCCAAACACCCCCATACCTTCAAGTATTTATAATTAGGTTTGTAACATTTCCATACTTCATAAGGTATCTTATGAGTTTTTCGATGTGATAGTTTGTTAAGAATATAGTTGGCAGAAAGCAAGGCTTCCCCCACAAGTTCTGCGGTAATCCAGAACTTATTAATATAGCATTCATCATCTCCTTCAATGTTTGATTCTTGCATTCAGCAATACCATTAGATTGAGGAGAATAAGGCGAGGTAGTTTAATAAATAATTTCGTGTTCCGAACAGATTTTCTCAAATGGTAAATCATATTCACCACCTTATCACTTCTTAGGCGTTAATCTTTTTACTAAGTTGATTTTCAACTTCTAACTTGTAGTGTTTAAACACTTCAATTATTTCGTCTTTGCTTTTGAGCAAATACACATAGGAATATTGAGTACAATTATCGATAAAAATGATAAAGTGCTTATTACCTCCCCTAATTTGAACAAATTTTAAATCACATATGTCAGTGTGAATTAAATCTAGGGGTTCGGTACTTTTTTCAATAGAATGAAAGGGTAAACGTGACATTTTGGCTTCTACACATATATCGCATTTGTGATTAGGATTTAAATCACACTTTGGTAATAAATCTAATTTGATTAGTCCACGCAAAGTGTTATAATTTCTATGTCTTAATCGTTCATGCCAAATGTTAAATGACTCAAGCAAGTAAGAAGAAGATGTATTCTTATTCATAATTGGAGGTACAACAATCATTACATTCAACTTAAAGAGCCCCCCATTCAGGTAGCCCTTTCCTACAAACATTTCATTCTTTGAGAGTACAAATTTGTCTGAAATAAATACTAGCTTAAACTCATTCTTACTTAGTAGAGAACCAGATACCAAGTTTTTCCTAATATC